TCACTGGGCATGCTGGCATATGCCTATAACCCCAGCACTTGGGAGGCTGAGGCACGATGGCCCCAAGTTCAAAAGGCCAGCCTTGGCTACATAGTGATTTCAAGGACAGTCTGAACTACATAGCAAGACCCTGTCTCAAAAAAAAGGAAAAAAGAGGGCTGGGGATTTAGCTCAGTGTTTCCACTGCCTGCCTCACAAGGGCAAGGTCCCAAGTTTGATCCTCGGTACCAAAAAAAAAAAAGTAAAAAATAATAAAAGATATGGAGTGCAATCTGGGCATCATGATTGCCCAAACCTTTGATCCTAGCACTCTGGGAGACAAAGACAGGAAGATCACAAGTTCAAGGTTCATTGCATGAGCACTATGTAGGTTGGGCCTGAAAAGTCTGTAGTCTTCTATTAGGTAGAGATTATATTGCTTACACAACAGCCTGAGCTCCCTGCTAGACTCCTTAAACACCTCTAGACAAAGAGCCCTACTCAGAATCCCCTCCCAGCCAGCAGGAGCTTTACTTCCTTGCCTTTATATCTTTTACTCTCCTGCCTTATATCTTTTAAATAAATTTGCTGGCACCCTACCTCCTCCATCCAGTTTCATTTTTCATCACCATGGTACTCAACCCCTGCATTTCGGCATCGCTGCTGTATACCAGACAGTGGAGACAGTACTTTACAAATGTAGTGAGACAGTCAATTCCATAGAAGTCTGATAAACCTGAGCTCGTTTTCTTGTAAAGTTGAAGAATGAAATTGTGGACAAAAAGGAGGAGGCTAGGGGAGTGTTTATTAGAAATATTGGAAGTGAAGTAGCTCCCAGCTGAGAGGGGTCCCAAGTGGGTCACCAGGTGTCTCTGCAATCCAGAGCTTCTTTTGGATGAGTGGGGTACAGGAAATGCTCAGTTGTTTAGTAGCCACCTATTACAGCTGGCTCTGTGGATTTAAAATGACCCAATAGGAACTCAGGCTCTCTAACCCAGTTCTTATCAGTGCTGCTGATCACCCAACTCTCAGGCCCTTTTCCTAGATAGCTGCATATTCAAAAGCTAAGTAACTATTATTTACAGCAGTATCACTAATCCAGCATCCCTGTGTAGTAGGCATCATTATTCCAGTTGTACGGATGAAAAAGCCAAGATCCAGAGCGGTTCAGTCATTTCTCTGAGGCACTGAATTAAGCACCAGAGAGGCTTGCAGTGGAACCGAAATCTATCTTCCTCCAAACTGTTCTTTCCATTCTTCCAGATTGCCCTAGTTTGCTCTTTAAAGAGATAATTTTCTGACCCAAATAAATCTAATTGGTGATATTTCCAGCTAAAAGACCAAGTTACCATTCACATCCCTCCTGCCCTTCCTGATCCATAAAATGTTATTTTTAGGAAGGAGGGATGGAGGGAGCTCCTTTGGGGGGTGGATCTGCCCTTAAAATCAGGCCCCCAAGTCATCTTGACCTTCAGAATTCTCTTCTTTGTCTCAGAAGGCCACTTCCTGCCCCCAGTGCTCCCATGACAATGTGGAGTGGGCAGTAAAGGGGCATGTGGTGCCCAGCTGTGTCCACAGGGCCTTGTAGGCCAGAGGCCCCCCAGTCTCAGGACTCTGCTGGGTTTCATGGGACAAGCAGCGTTCTGGGGTCTCTTGGACTGATACTGCCATGAAGGACTCAACGGACAGGCTGAGCCCCAATCTGTCCTTAGGTCACTGCAGCACCCACTTGAGGGACTCAGCAGCTGACAGCAAGCTTTGACCCTTATTAAGCTCTTCCTGTGTGCCAGTGCTGAAATGTACCAATCCCCTAATCCTTGGCACACATCTATAGGGCTAAAAAGCCTGCCATGGTCCCTTTATTCCAGGAAGTGGGAGCTTTTTTTTTTTTTTTTGCATGCTTGCTAGCACGTTTGAGCAATGTCTGCCCTTCGTTTCCTTAAATCCTCGGTTAGCACAGACTGGGAAATGGAAGGGACCCCTCAGAGTGCCATTCAGCTCTGTGAGAGGAAAGGTAACACTCCAGTGACCACTCCTGGTGACCTCTTAGAATTAAATGAAGTAATCTATGTAGTATGCGATTTTTTTTAAAATGCAATAAATTTTTAAATAATTTATTTGGTTTTTTTTGTTTTGTTTTGTTTTTGGTACCGGGGATCGAACTCTGGTCCTTGGGCTTGCAGGGCAGGCAGCAGAACCATTGAGCTAAATCTCCGGCCAAAATAATTTATTATAGTAAAAGATACATTGCCATTAATCCCCTCAGAATACTGCCCCACACTTCAAACACACTTATCCCATTGTTCTTGCCACTTTCTGAAGTGGTTCTGGAAGTCTTCTTTTGTGTCTTTAATTGTGCTGTTATGGCTGCCTCAGTGTCCTAAATCCATTCAAAATGTTTACCTTTCACGGTCATTTTGACTTTGGGAAAGAGCCAGAAGTTGCAGGGTGCCATATCCAGTGAATAATGTGGATGAGGACACACCATGTTTTTAGGAGCCTGCGTTTCTGTTGAATGAAACGCAACAGCAGCATTCACCATATTTTTGACCACACTTCCTAAAGACACTCTGGAAAGACTTAGAGAACTGTTTCAGAAAGTGGCAAGAACAATGGGATAAGAGCATTCAAAGTGAGGCGGAGTATTTTGAGGAGGATTAAAGGCAATGTGTCATGTCTTTTATTGTGATTTTTTTTTTTTATAGAGCCTTGCTATGTAGTTCAAACTAGGCTTGAACTCATGGTAATCCTCCTGCCTCATCCTCCCTAGTGCTAGGATTACATACATGTACCACCATGCCTTTATTGTGAATGTTTGTTTTTGAGACAGGCTTTCCCGGGATTATAGGTGTGTACGACCACACCCAGCTTGACATACATCCTTTAACACCCACGGCAGCCAACACTTCCAGGCAGGAGTTGTCATTCCCACTGACCAGATGCTAAGTCTCAGGGGCCCATCCAGGTCACATGATTAACAGCTGGGGACCTGGAGCTCCAGCACTGGGCTGCTCATCATACTCATCCCTGGCACACAGTAGGCATCCAACAGTGGTGGCTGCCATTAGTGTTCAAGGGTCCCTGCAGATTCCAGATGAGCTAAAGGGGTCAATGAGGTGTTATGGGGTGGAGAATACAGAAATGGGAGGGGAGCCTTGAAGGGGACACTGAGATCCATTCTGGCTCCACAGTGTCCAAGGTGACACTGGTATCTGGGGGGCCAGTCCAGAAGGCTGCTACATGCTCAGGAGAAATGACTTTCTGGAAAGAGGAAGGCAGCCTTATTGGTGAGAGGCAGGTGCTGGAACCACTGAGCCAAATCCCTGGCCCTTCTCTGGTGAGCACTGAGAAATACAGGCTGAGCAGTGGCCCAGGACCATGCCCTGGGGAGCCCCCTTATTGGTGGGGTGCAGGAGAGAAATAAGCCCAGGGAAGCAACTGGGAGGGAATGCCAGGGAGGGACAGAAAGACAATCACCATGGGACAGGTGAGTCACAGAGGGAAGAAGACTGAAGAAGGGGGCACGTGACTTGTGTCACATGTAACACATCAAAGGAGACAGAGTGAGCTGACACATTCACACAGCTGTCACCATCAAGCCTATCCAAGCCCTCAGCAGCCTCACAAACACCTGTGATGGTCTGAGCCATGAAGATCTCCATCCTCCAGTAGGGACCCAGGAGAGGAAGCTAGCCATGGCCCAGTACTTGGTGAAAGGCCTGATGGGAGCAGCTGAGATACCAAGGGTCACATTTGTGCCTTACATTTCTTTTGAGGAACCAGATTCTACTCCAATATGCCTCTAGTTTCACAGATGTCTTCAGAAATGTTCATATGACTCCATTAAAGTCAATGAGATCCAGGCCCAGGACTTTTAGGGAGAAGATATCTATTTCTTCTGTGCTGAGTATGAATCTGAGATGGCGTGGAGACCAGAGCTGCTGCAATCATCTTGTAGACAGGAGAGGTTCTACAGTTTGGATAAGTATCCCCAAAGGCCCATGCATGAAAGGTTTGTGACAATATTGGGAGATGAAACTTTTAGGAGGTGGAGCCTAGTGGAAGGAAGTTCGGTCATTGGGGATGGCCCCTGGAAGGGACTATTAGGACCCCAGCCCCTCCTCTCTCTTTCTCTCTTTGCTTCTTGGCCACCATCTCACCACAGGCCCAAAAGCAATGAAACAGCAATCGTGGACTGAAACCTCTGAGACCTTGAACCAAAATAAACCTTTCCACCCTAACCGTTGATTATCTCAGGTGTTTTGTTGCAGCAATGGAAAGTTGGCTAATGTAAAGGGTAAACCTTTGTGAGAACAGGGACATACAAGTTGGGAAGTGGAGCTGAATGAACCACAGAGAGAGGCAGATGACATTGTGACAATGAGCTCAGCCTCAAGCTGCAACAGAAGCCAGCCATTAGTCCTAAACTTTACTGATAGCAAGCCAGTAAATTCCTTCTCTGCCTTACTAGTTTGGGTTGGCTCTTTTGTCACTCACTAAAAGCAACATGTATCAGTTATGTATGACCACAATTCCGCTGTGTAACAAACTACTCCGCAGGTCAGGGGCTTAAAGTAATTGAGTTCATGAGCCTAGATCACTGTGCAGGCCAGACTTGACCTAGCAGTTCTGGTCTCAGATGGGCTACCACACACATTGGTCAGCTGGGAAGATAGGACAAGCTGGCCACACCTCAAAGCCACAGAGATTTGTGTTACTGTTAGCATTTTGTCTCTAGAAGCTCTTTGGAGTTTAGAACAGGTGCTTGAAAAGTGGTTTATGATACTGCTGCAGGGTTAGGCTGCCAATGCTGTGGAAGGATAGGGTTGCAAGGAATTAGGGGTGCAGGAGATAAGCCAGTTTTGTGCAGGTTGTCACTGGATTGGGTTTGCTTAAGTTTTCCTTGGGATTATGTGGGACTGCATAACCTTTGTTCCTTTTCTCCAGCCCCATTGTGATTAAATGTGAGTTAATGGATAAAGATGCTTGTTGGTTTGGGGACACTAGATAAAATCTGTAACAGACCTAAAGTCCCAAAGTAAACTACTCAACTCCTTGTTTGCCTGGAACTGATGTTCCGGAAACCACAATCTATAGAACAAGCTGCAAATGTCTGCTGACCATCAATATGTGACAGTCGACCACTAACCTTTGTCCCCTTTTCTTTAATTCTATATGTTAACTTCCCCCTCAACCCCCTATAAGAACAGCCTCGGACTCTGAGCCAGTTACTTCTCTAAGCTATTTTGCTTTGGGAGTGCCATCTGGCCGACTAATAAAGGTCTGTTTTATTTTCCAACTTGTCCGGTGTGTTCCTTCCTGGGTGTTCTTCGCTGCAGTCAGCTCCTCAGAGCGTTTGGTAAGGCCCTCGGTCTTACATTTAGACCCAGGCAACGCATTTTGGCAGCTGGTCTCTAATATTCTCGACCCTCATTTCAGTGAGATTGGAGTTCCTGTCTGCAGAGGTGTCTTTCCACGTTCTGGTTTGGATATGAAATGTCCCCAAGAGCTCATATGTTGAGGGTTTGGTCCCCATGGCAATAGGATTCAGAGGTAGGACCAGTGAAAGGTGATTGGATCTAGAGGGCTCTGACCTCATCGATGGACTAATCCACTGATGGATGGATAATTCAGTGGATTTTCGGGAGGTGGTAGAAGCCTGATTGGAGGAAGGAGGTCCTTGGTGTGCCCTTGAAGACTCTACTGGCATAAAATAAGCACTTAATGTATAATGTCTGTAAATATTGAAAGTGATTAGAATGATTCACCATAGCACATGACTTAAAAATTATAAACTTAGAAGGATAAACTTAAGTCATTTGTAGAAAAATGGACGCACCTTGAGACCATAATGTTAAGTGACATCAATCAGATACATAAGGCCGGGGATTTAGCTCAGCAGTTCTGCCGCCTGCCTGGAAAGCACAAGGTCCCAAGTTCGATCCCCCATACCAAAAAAAAAATCAATCAGACACATAAGCTTGAATATCACATGGTTTCTTACATGAGAAACTCAAGGTATAAAAACAAAACAAAAGATAGGTCATAGAAAGTAGGGTGACAGGGCCAGGGATTTAGCTCAGTGGTTTCGGCTGCCTGCTGCGCAAGCACAAGGACCTGAGTTCGATCCCTGGTAACAAAAAAAAAAAAAAAAAAAAGAAAGTAGGGCGACAGATCCTTCTCACATGGGAAGAGGACCAAGAGATGGAGAGAGGGAAGAAGGTGGGGAGAAAAGGATGGAAAATAAGTAATTTAGGGCTGGGGGTGTAGCTCAGTGGCACTGCGCCGGCCTTGCAAGTGCAAGGTCCTGAGATCAATCCCTGGTACCAAAAAAAAAAACTTAGATCCCCACAAGGAATGTAAACATTATGTACTGCAAACATGCACTAAGATTTTTTTAAAAAAGAAAAAGAAAAAGAAAACAAAATTTAAAAAAGGGCAACCCATGGGAAGAGGACCAAGAGATTGGGGGGGCAGGGCTTAAAAATTAAGATGTACTTGTACCAACTCCACACAATGAATGTAATCCTTGTGCGCTGCAAACATGTACTAATGTAAATACAAATGTTAGAGAGCTGTAAACTTGACCGAGTTTAAATGATGAGTAGGTCACCATCCCTCTTCTGGCTAGGTAGGAGTGTCTAATCTCCAATCCCTCCATTCTGTGGAATCCAATCCTGCTCCCTGTCCACCCCCAGCATCTACAGCAGCTTCTTCCTGGGCTTTGGGAGTGTGGCCAGCAGCCCAAGGTCCCTCCCAGCCCTCAGGTGATACCGTTAAGCACAGGAAGTGCTTGGCACTTGGCGACTGCTCAGGAGACATTAATCCCTGCCCGGGGCCAACACTGCTGACATTTCAGAGGTTCCCCAGCTACCCCACAGGGAACCCAGGCAGAGCTCAGAGTGCCTCTTCTGCCCACCTCTGAGGTGCTCCTCAGGACATACCTGGTGGCCCTAGAACAAATGAGTGCAACCAATTGGACAAGAGGAGGCCTCCAGGAAGCCCCTTAGATTCTAGGCTGGAGGCACAGTCATCGCACAAGTCCAAGGCCAGCTCCCTGGAAAGGAGATGGCTGCTCTTGGACAGGAAGCCACCTGCTCCTTCCCCTCCCTGTCCCTGAGCACCCACAAACCAGCCACACACACATCCCTCAGACTTCACAGCTGTTTTTATTATTAATATTATCTTCTCCTTTAAGCATCCCTTTAAGGGTGAAATGAAATCCAACCATTTACAGAGAAAATGATTTCAGAATGTACATATTGATTTTCCTTTACAAAAAAAATAATGCTATTATCATCTGTGTCCTTAAATTATACATTTCACAGGGCCCTGCCTTCTGCGTGGGCAAGTCCCATGTCCCCACGCTGACTCTCACCTCTGTCCCCAAGGCTCTCCTGTGCCCACCCTGGAACTGATGTGACCATATTTGGATGAGGCCAGCTGGATGCTTGGCATGGACAGGCCTCCTTGGGGCTAGAGGTTCCCAGGAAAGACATCTGGATACGGTGACAGGGCGGCAGTGTGCCAGTGTTCACATTCAGTTTGGTTTTCCTTCATGTGGGGGAGTGGCCCTGGCACCCCATCCCCACTTCCCAGTGTATGCTCTGGTTATATGGGAAACTCTTCCACCTCACAATGTGCCCCTCCTCCCTCCCCGCTGGGTCTAAACCCTGGTAGCCCTGAGCCTCTCTGTCTTCCTTCCCTGCTTCAGGCCTGCCCACTGCAGCTGCTCTAAGGCCAGCTCCCATCACGCCTGCACCAGACACATCCTCCAGCTCTCTTGACCCATCAGGAATCTCCCCAATGAGACCCTCAGAAAAAGTCCCGTTGGAGCTGGGGGAGGGGGGACAAAGCTGGGGCCCAAAGGGGCTGAGAAGGTAGAGGACTCTCAGTGGCACAGCCTCAGGGTGGGAGGATTCTCATTCCTCAGACTGAAAGACAGACAGACAGACAGACCCTGCGTCCCTTTTCATCTTGCTTTCTAGGCTCCCCAGTGGCTTCTTGCCTCAGTCACCTTGGGAAGTAGGCTCTAAGACCTGGGAAAAAGGACACCTGGGCCGGGGCTCCTAATCCCACAGGCAGGCATCTATGTACAGGGACACATAGATACAGACATGTACAAATACACACCAAGCATGCACCCATGCCCATAAATATACACGCACACACTCATAGAAATGGACCATTCCACAGGCAGCCTCCGCACACTGGCCTTGCAGGGAATGTCTGGGGGAAAACAGGGAGGGGCATTCTCTCCTGGTCACACACCTGCCACTGCCACAGCATCCGGCCCTGGGCAGACAGGGAGAGGAGCAAGAGCAGGATCGTACAACTATAGCAGCCATTTCTACCCCTCCCCCAGAAGTCTGCTTATTCCCCTCATCCACCCTCTTCTTCACTGATAGATCTCCCAAGTTGAGGTCTGGCACAAGGCAGTTTCCCAGTTTCCCTTGCAGCTATATTTATATGACCATGTGACTTAAGTTCTGGCCAATAAGAAGCCATCAGAAGTAATTGTGCCATTTCTAGCTCAGGCCACAACAAGAAAGGGTGTGCACTTCCTTGCCTTTCTCTGGTTTGGGATGCGTAAGTGGCTGGAGCAGACACTCTGTATCCAAAATTGGAAGGTGTGAATGAAGGGAAGTAGAGCTGCCCTACTAGTTCTAGATCACCTCCCTCTAGACAATTTAATTAGAACAAGCTTCTGTCTTACACAAACCTCCGTATTTCACGGTCTCTTAATTACAGCAGCTTAGAATCTACTCCAACAAATTACATTCCTTACCCCCACAAGGCAAACTAAGAGGAATGGGTTGACATATAACTGGCCTTAATGTCCCTTCTTGGGCCTAGGAGAGCCTCGTGGCTCCTTCCTGGCCCCTTCCCAGCCCCAAGGAGCGGCCTAAGTGATTCCTCCTGGGGTCGTGGTGAGCTTGGGGTGGTGGGTGCTGGCCACAGGGGGCGACAGGAAGGGAGAGGCAGAATGATGAAGGGTCTCAAGTCCATCTTCGCCTCCCCATGCCCCAGGGCACACCTGCCACACTGGCTGTCCATACAGTCTCCAGCGTCCACCACACCCTGAGGACTGACTCCTGCAAGCGGTTGGGCACGCAGCCCACACAACAGCAATGTACAGTAAAAAGGAACGTCAAGGCCAGTTTTGAAACCAGAAGGAGGCATCCCCAGGGTTTGCCTCATGCCTTTGTCAGCTTACAAGGGACAGAAGCCTGACAGCCTCGGGCACCGTCCTCCCAGCTGGGTGACATCCTGTAGGGCAGTGGGTGAGGCTTCCTCCCCCTCTGAGCCAGCACTTCTGAGGGCACCACAAGGTGTCCAGCAGCACCCCTTCCCTGCTAGGTGATCCCCTTACTCCCTCACCCAAATGCATCTATTGCAGAGCCAGACCTGACATGGCCCCTCCCCAGTGCAGGTCCAGAGCCCTGAGATGCCAAAGTAGACTTCCCTCCACCAGTCGCAGCCCCGCAGGGTGACCCTGGAGGTCAAACAGGCTTCCTTCCCTCCCCCTCCCCTCCCGGCTCCCAGGACCCATGGAGCACTCTCCAGTGGCACCTCCTGGCCACAGCACTCTTGGTAGCAAAAGGGCTGCATAGATGTCTGGGCTTGCTCCCTTCTCTTGGCAGCAAGGGAGGTGTTTTGTTTTGTTTTGTTTTGTTTTGTTTAGCTGAAAAACCTAATCCTTGATTCATAAGGGCTTGAGTAGGGAAAAGCCCACCCGAGCCCACCCACCCAGGCCTGGTCTCTCAAGATCCTCCGGCAGGAAGAGGCTAAAGGTAATGCCAAGGGTAGCCACCACCCCACCGGGCCAGGGACCCTGGAGATCCCGCAGCCTCAGCCTTCAACCGTGTCCAGTTTGTCCCTGGCTGCGGGTGGCCGGCCCTCAGTGCCCTTGTTCCTGCGCCCGCCCACCGCAGTGCTCTTGGGCGCCTGGTAGGGGTTGTCCAGCAGGTAACGGAACTGGTCGTAGTTCTTGAGCAGGTACTTGGGGGCATACATGTGCTCACTGGGGTCTGCGGGTGGGTACTCCTGTTGTGTGCCATCAAACCAGCCGCCGGTTCGGATCAAGCTCCGGATGTAATTGAGGTCCCGCTTGTCCTCATAGTCACCCCAGCGGGGAAAGTCACCGTTCTGGGCGGACACTAGTTTGAAGTAGATGCCCTCGGGCGTGAAGCACCAGGAGCAATGCCAGCCAGCAAAGTGCAGGGGGCTGCCCAGTGACCACTGCACCAGGATGTGGCCCGTGCGGTTTTCGTATTGGCGGAAGTTGGGCATGGTGTAGTATTGGCGGCGGCGCAGGCGGATGCCATCCAGCCCGTACACGGCCTGCAGCATATCCACCGTGCAGCCAGACACCACCTCCAGGGTGCCCGGCTGCTTCCAGAAGAAGCCGTAGAGCGACTTGCGCATGTGGAAGGCGAAGGGCTCCGTCCAGCCATCATAGAGCTTGAGGAAGAGCACACCGTCGCGTGCAGGGATCTCGTCGGCATCATCGATGATGAAGACGTCGTCTGGCCGAAGGTTGCGCAGGCGCGAGACCCCGTCCTGGGTCAGGAAAGTCCGCAGGTAGTCGTCAGCAATCCAGCCGTCCTGCCGGCCCCCGGGCGGGAAGTGGTCCAGGAAGACGTAGAGCACCTTGTGGCGGATGTACTCGAAGGTGCCGTTGGTCAGCATCTCGCGGAACTTGAGCGGCCGCGGCTCCCCGTAAGCCGTGAAGTTGGACTCGCACACCACGAAGGCGTCCACCACGTCGCCCAGCTCGTGGAAGCGCACATCGAGCAGGTCGAACTCGTGGTTGATGTTGATGGCGTTGATGACCCGCCGCGGCACCTCCCTGGGCACCAGGCGCTCCTTGGTGGGCAGGTTGGAGTACTGCACCACGGTGGGCACTCCGCAGCTGGGCCCGTGCCAGCCCGGGAGGCACACGCACTCCACCCACTTGCGCCGTGCACCCCGGCTGCTGCCCGCGTGCTCCCGGGCACTCAGCACGTGCCGCGGGGGGCGCCGTGCCGGACCCCGGGCTCCCGAGGAGCCGTCAGCGCCCTCAGGCTTCTCCTCTGGCCGCCCCGAGGGCGGCTTCTCCAGCATCTTGGTACCTGGTTTGAAACACACGCCGCCGGCTTTGGTGCGCACGAAATACTCGGTGGTGTCCTCGGGCAGCACGAAGTCCACCCGATGGAGCTCCTCGGTCGCCCTGCTGGGGGACAGCGGCTGGAGCAGGGGCGAGTGAGAGTACAGCGGGGTTCGCAGCAGGCCAGGGCCCCCCGGCTCGGGGCTGGCCTGGGGGGTGACAGGGGCATTGTTCCAGAAGAAGCTTGACACGAGGTTAGGGCTGAGGGAGGCCAGTTCCCGCGGAAAGGTGACATAGGACAGGGTCTTAAAGAAGTGTAGGAAGGAGATGAGGCAGAGACCGGCCATACAGAACACGAGAAAGAGCTTGTAGCGTCTCATCTTCATCCTGCGGGAGAGGGAGCGCAAAGGTCAGGGCAGCCTGAGGCGCTTCTCGAGGGTCATGGTGCCGGGTATGGTGGCACACACCTGTATTCCCGGCATTTGGGAGGCTGAGGCAGGAGTGACACCAGGAATCTGAGCCTAGCCTGGGCTAGTGAGTTCAGGGCCAGCCAGACACGGTCTCAAAAAAAAAAAGATAGATAGATAGATAGATAGATAGATAGATAGATAGATATACACACATATATATAAATATATGTATATACACATATATATAAATATATGTATATGTATATGTATATACTTGAGGTTAGCGTTATGGGTGACACGGCCTCAGAAGCTTTGGTGCCACCACCCATCCTTTGTTGATATTTTTGTGGGGGGGTTTTGGTACTGGGGATTGAACTTGGGACCTTGCGCTTTCGAGGCAGGCGGTGGAACCACTGAGCTAAATCCTCAGCCCAACCACCCCTCCTTTGAGAAGCTCCTGCATGAAGTCCCTCACCTCCTGCTCCCACACCCCTTCCCCCAGAGACCTCCAGCCCCCATAAGCACCTCTGCAGCCTGAGACTCCACTTGGCCGCCCCCACCTGAAGGGACCAGCTGCATAGCTAGGCTTGAACCTAGGAGCAAAATGCCTTCCAGAAAAGCTCAATCCTCGCAGGCCCCAGGGAGCGGACCCCAGACACTGCCATGCAGGTTCTGTCCCTACACTGCAGTTGAGTCAGGGTGCTGTCTGTCTTATTTGTGGACACACTGACAAACATTGTCATTATGTTTTCACTGGGAAAAAAATTCACCGTTTTCAAGACAGCACATTTAATTGTAACGTATTTTAAAAATGAAATTAAGTAAAGGTTCCCCTTCATTACCCCTGCCTTGTACTAGACTGAGCTCCAGGCATAAACAACCCAAGGGGTGATACTCGATTTCCACACAGTTTTTGGCACACCAGACACGAAGTCCAATCAAGCTGTTTTCCTCAATCAATGACAGATTTCAAAGATTTTCCTATCAGTGCAAATAAATCTACCACTTCCTTTTAAATCCCACCTAATACCCCATGGTTATTTTGAATGAATCGCTATTCACGAGTATGCATGATATAAGCATTTCCTAGTCATTTATACAGTTTATTAATTAGTTTATGGCTGCACAGTAGAGATACTTGTATATTCCTTTTTTCCAATTTAAAGAAACTTTTAACTAGAATATTGGTGAGTTATTAGATAAGTTGCAAAGATAGTACAGAAGGTCCCTTGCATCCCTCTTCCAGCCTCCCATCCCCACCATGGTACATTGGTCACAAGGAAGCAGCTGAGCCTGCCAGTCACCGAGAGCCAAACTCCATGCTTTACTGGGATTTTTTTGCTTTGGTGGGGTTTTGGTGCTAGGGACGGAACCCAGGCCCTGGAAGATGTTAAAAAACACTGTACCACTGAGCCACACTGCCAGCCAAGGATGTGTTTACCTTGTGAAAAAGCTTGTGCAGGACCCAGTGCTTCTGACGGGGCAGGTGGGCCAGGTTACACGCATCTGACTAATGAAAGAGCCAGCAGGGCTGAGTGACATCAGCCATTTCTGGGGTCAGGGGAGACACACTGGGTTACAGAAGAGGCTAGAATAGAAAGCTGGCTTGTGCTTACTTCTCTGGGTCATTTGGGTGCCCTCCTGCCACACTGCCCCCTCTCTTCCTGAGGGCAGCAGGGGAGTGGATCCATATTGCCTTCAAACTGCCACACTCCTCACTCACCATGCAGAACCTCAGTTTCCACATCTGCGACATGGGTGCAGAGTCCCTGGTGTGCGAGAGTGCTCAGGAAGCTTTTGTTGCTTTCAGTGCTCAAAGCTGGAAGCCCACAACACAAATTCCTCTAGGCTACATGTCGTAAGGTGCAGAATCATGAAATGTTTGACCTAGAAGTCGGACACTGAGGACCACCTCATCCAACAATTTGGAGGTAACACTAGAGCTGAGGATGCTTCAGGGACCTATTTGCAGTTACAAAGCTGTGACCCTCATGGGATCACCATGGTGAGCAGGGGGTGTGGAAGAGTTGAGTTGCAAATCCTGAGGGTCAGGGCAGTGTCCAACTCTTCCAGTTATGCCCCACAAGTACCCAAGGGCAGCTGTTGAAGCTGACTGTGGGCAGGGAGGACAATGGGGGTGGGGTGGACCTCTGCTAAATGCCAGCTGTCCTGGGGCAGAGGTGGGGTTGGTCCCCATTGATTTGGGGTGCCAGAGTTGCTCGCTGGTGACATCAGAAAGTGGGTCCCCTGGGCTCCTTTCTCTAAGCTGGTAAGGGCCTGGTGAACTGAGACCAGTTACACCAGGCTGACAGGATGAGCAGACGGGCACTGGGACAGGCCACACCAGGAAGAAGGCAACTCAGCACCACAAGGTCTGCACAGCAGGAGCCTCCAGAGTGACACCCACCATAGACAAGGCAGGATCTGGGGCTGCCATTCAGACAAAATCCCCTGGCAACAGCAAATGCAAGAGGGGCAAGTGAATGCCCCGCTTGGTGTGTAGATCTGCAGTGGTCAGACCGGCCTAGCCATCCCTGGGCTCCCTGGCTTTCGGAATATCTGGTTACACGTGGCTAGCTGTGCCCTTCCAAGTACAGGCTCATCAGTGCCTGGAGCACTCCTCTGACTCACTAGGGCCTGCAGAGTGAGTTTCACGGAACTAAGCACATATCCCTTATTTTTCAGGCTGCTAGGAAACTAAAGAGCACATGGAGTGGGAGGGCCATGCAGTCAGACCAGCTGCTGAGATGAAAGCTTCACTGGGGCAGTCTCTGCATATCATGGGGAGATAGACGCTGCTGCCTTTAATTGGCCTTGGTCCTCACATCTCCAAAAAGAAACAAGATCTCGATAAGCTATATGAGCTGAAGTCCCAAGCTCGGCAGATTATGAACCAGTTTGGCCCCTCAGCACTTATCAACCTCTCCAATTTTTCATCCATAAAACCGGAACCAGCCAGCACCCCTCCACAGGGCCCCATGGCCAATAGCACCACTGTGGTAAAGATACTGGGCACTCCTGGGACAGGAGGTCGTCTTAGCCCTGAGAACAATCAGGTTTTGACCAAGCAGTTACGGGACTTAGTAAGAGAACTGGATCCTAATGGACAGCTGGATGAAGATATGGAGGAGATGCTGCTGCAGATCGCTGATGACTTCATCAAGAGCATGGTGACAGCTGCCTGCCAGCTCGCTTGGCATCGCAAGTCCAGTACCCTGGAGGTAAAGGATGTCCAGCTGCACCTAGAGTGCCAGTGGAACATGTGGATCCCAGGATTTGGCTCTGAAGAAATCCGGCCCTACAAAAAAGCTTGCACCACAGAAGTGCATAAGCAGAGAATGGCATTGATCTGGAAAACAACCAAGAAATAACACACAGAAAGGTCAGGGTATGGACCTGTCCAATGTATTTGGAGATACTTGAGCTGAGACCTCAGTCATCTCATCATTGGAGTTTTTTTTTAAATGCTTTACAGAGAAGCATATATTTTTTATGAACAGTGCAGCAATATCTATAATGACTGAGAGGATCTGCCAAAAGAATAAAGCCTCCTACCCTCCCACAAAAAAAAGAGGACATGGAAGTCAGCCCAGATTAAGTCACCAGCGCCTTGAAGTCCACATTTTCTTGGGCTCCTTCACTAATATCTCATATGTTTTTCTTATTTTGGTTTTTTGAAACAGGGTCTCACTATGTAGTTCATGCTGGCCTCGACCTCCAGGTGAGCCTCCTGCCTCAGCCTTCTGAGTGCTGGGATTACAGGCGTGCACCACCAGGCCCTGCTTCATGTGTTTTTTCAACTCTTATTCTCCTCAGCCAAATTCCTTTTACTTTGGTAAATGCTTCAGTACACTTTTTTTTTTCCAAGGGAGTGTACAAATAAAACGGAATAGATAAATTAGCACCAGTACCCAGGACCCATTTCTGCCTCCCAGCCCTCAGGTAGGCTATTAAACCACTCTGCTTTTCCAGTAAATGTCTCAGTAAAATGACAAGATTTTCCCTAAAAGACATCACGACAATGGCCGAGCCAGGACTTGCACACATGAGTCTGGTCTCCAAGCCAGAGCCTCTCCTGCATTAGGTCAGGTGGCCCAATTGTGGGTAACATGTCTGCTTTATTACACTGTGTCATTGAGAAACCCTCAGGTGTGACAATAACCATCACTGATGTTTACAAGCCAGCTAGTGTTCCGAGTGCATTAGGAGCATGAGCTCACAGGAAGCAGGTACCCTCTTTACCCCCATTTTACAGATGAGGAAACTGAGGCTAGAGGAAAGATGTAACTTGCATTTCAGATGCACCTTGTCAGGATCCGATTCAGTTCCACAGGGCCACTGAGGGGACTCCAGCCATTGGCAATGCTCCCCTGAGCCTCTCCATCTGCCACATTCAACACATCTGGGATGGCAGGGACCCCCTGAGGAGCCCACCTGTGACCAGAGCACCCCGGAACAGAAGAGTCACAGTTGTGTTTAATTCACACAGCACCCCACTGGAGCTCACCCAACCTGCATTGTTCACCTGCTCAGCAAGTGCTTCCCGAGTGCCCACTGTGTGGCGACACTTCGCCAGGCCCAGGGGACACCAGGAATCAAGCTGACCAAGCCCCCGCCCTTGGGAAGGCTGCGACAACCCAAACAGGATTGTACTTTAGAAAGAGTCCTGCAGCCAGGTGTAGCGGTGCATGCTCCTTGTTACTTCCCAGCCTGGCAGAGGACAGCGTGCCCACAGGCAGGACAAAGCAGCAGCAAAGGCTTGGAGTTGTGCCCTGCCAGGACCTTGGCTGGGCAGGTGCTGCCCTTCTCACAAGGAGCAGAGCTTAGGGCCCACAAGGGGACCTTGGCAGCAAGGAGCCTCTGAGGCAGACGAAAACTGGGAAGCAGCACCATGCTCCTCTGGGCTCCAGGAAGGGAGGATGGAGGCTCCCTAGGAGGCCCCCAAAGGACACAGCCCATACCCCAGTGAGTTGTACC